AAAAAAAAAAAACCATTTTCATTCTTATAAATTTGTGTCTCACAACCCCCGAACATTGCGAAAATCCATAAAAAACAACTTTTGAGCAGGCAGGCAAAACTTGAAGGTCGAACTAAAATTTCAACTAATTATACTCTTGTCTGAGTGAAATTACACTGAACTATGATTTAAAAATTTGTACGGGCAGAAAAATGGCTTTTCTATTATATTTTTGTCAAAAAACAAAACCCGTCTCAAAACCCCCCGGTCTCCCCTATATAAATTCATATAATAAACTTTGTCATATTTCCCGTGTTGAATTCGTGTCATTTGTTCTTAAATTTGGCAGTATTAAAAATTCGTCTCACAAAAACTATTGTGAATTTTTCATGGCGCCCGAGCAGAGACAAATTTAGCCAAATTTAAACAATTTCAAGTGAACAGTGGCAACAAATTTAAAACAGTGTTTTGATTTCGTATTTAACAAATAAAGTTAATATTTGTTAAATTAAAATCAGCAAACGGTGACGTGCAAATAAATACATATATACGTACGTAACGGAAAAAGTGGACAAGTGAAGTGCAATACATAACGCACACAAACACACATACATACAGAAATCGGTGGACAAGCGGTAGATTTAAAGCGGAACAAAAAGAGCGGGAGTTAACCCTAGAAACCCAAATTAAAATCCTACAAAACTAATTAAACCGCGTCGGCCGGAAAAAAATAATTTAAAAACAACAAATAATTTGGCAAATGGATAAGCAGCTGGTAAAAAGTGTTATCTCACCCCATGATAACTTGCAGGTACTCTGTACATTTTTTTGATTATTTAAAATTCGTTTATTACAAGCACATATACATACATATAAATTATTTGGTGCTGAATAAACAATTTTTCGAATTAATGCAAACAAACTTTAGTCAAAATATTGTTCGTGGCTAACATACATATTTTAAAGTGGCGTTTACTAACTACAGTACCTCAAATAAATTTCGCCTCAGCTGGTACTTATTGTATAGATAAAGAAAAGTGCTCTTCTTTCCTCAGCTTTAATTTGTGAATTCCCAAGAACAGTTGCTCAGTTAATTTTTATTCACTCTCCCATAAAATACTTGGTGAATTGTGTGAAAATAACTTGTGAGGCATTATAAATTATTTAGTGTCCAGTTAATAAAAATTAAAAGTGGCTTTTTTTGAATCTATATTTAAAAAAGAAAATATTGAAATGGCTCCTCCAGCATCAGGGTCCAATGATCTGGAATCATTGCTCAAACGACGAGACAATTTAGTAGCTAGCATTACGCGCATAAAAATATCTATTGAGAAAAACTTAATCTCAAAAGACCAGTGTGAGCTCGAATGTCGTCTGGAAATGTTAGGAAAATATGTTGAAGATGCATTAACGATTCAAAATAAAATCGAATTAAAAGATGACGAGGACGATTATAGGATGGAATTGGAAGAATTGTGCGTAATAACGAAGGCAAAATTAAAATCGCTGTTACCACGCGCTACGAACAGTGTCACAGAACAAAGTAGCACAACAGCGCCTTCTCATTGTAGACTTCCAAAAATGTCTCTTCCAAAATTCGATGGAAAATATTCCGAATTTAAAAATTTTATTGGGCTATTTAATACTTTGGTACACAATAATAGTTCTCTACCAGACATCGAAAAGTTTAACCACCTCATATCATGCTTATCTGGAGCTGCATTAGGAACAGTTAAAGCATTCCAAATTTCAGAGGAAAATTACCCTAAAGCTTTAGAAAGTCTCAAACGTGTGTATGATAACGATTGCCTTATATTTTTCGATAATATCGCGACTTTGTTCGATTTAACTCGGGTCTCTCAACCTTCCGCAGCTGCTTTGAGGGAACTTATTGATACAGCATCAGCGGTTTATGACTCTCTATTGTCATTAGGAAATCATGAAGACATCACAAATGCAATTTTTATCCACTTAGTGCTGACGAAAGTTGACGGTAAGACTCGCTCGAAATGGGAAGAACAGCTTGACTACTCAAAGCTGCCTAAGTGGAGTGATTGTCAATCGGTATTAAATCGAAGATTTCAGCAGTTGTCTGGAGAAGAAGGTAGTAAGTTTAAGCAAAATAAACCAAATCAAGACCGCAGGGCTGACACGAGTAAAAATGTTAAGCATTCTTTTAACTGCGCTGCTGAAAAACGAGACTTACGCAGTTCTAGTTGTCAATTTTGCAATTCTGGAGAACATGAGATAACAGGTTGCCAGCCATATGCAGCTCTTTCGGTTCAGCAACGATTTGAATTTGCAAAAAGTGTTCCCCTTTGTATAAATTGCTTGAAAAGAGGTCATACAGTTTCAAAATGTAAAGTTCCAAAATGTAGGATATGCGGAAAAGGGCATAATGCATTATTGCATAAGTTTTCATCGTCAAGTACTCAGCAATCATCTCAATTAGTGCAAGAAAGCTCATCTACTTCGCATGCTATGCATGCCACAGTACCAGATAAGGTAATACTTGCTACTGCAGTTGTACATGTCAAACGCCAAGATGGACAATACATTCTAGCTAGAGCCCTACTAGATTCAGGGTCGCAAATAAATTTTGTGACTGAGGAGCTCGCTAGTAACCTGCATATAAAGAAAGATGATGCGAATGTGAACTTACTTGGTATCGGTCAACAGCATACTGAAGTTAAGAAAAGCATTCACACAGCTATAAAATCTAGGTTTAATAGCAATGACTACATGGCAAATTTCTGCATACTCAAAACAATTTCAGGATATCAGCCAAATCAAGCAATTGAAATTCAGGGCTGGGATATACCATCAAATATTAACTTGGCAGACCCGCAGTTCTATAAGCCACAAAGGGTAGACATGCTAATAGGAGCAGAATCGTTTTTCGAGTTAATGGCAGTTGGACAAATTAAGAAAAGCCCTGAGCATCCCACACTGCAAAAAACCTTGTTAGGACACCTTGTTAGGTGTCTGGACGATATCGGTGTCCCAAAACACCAGTTGGGCCAATTTTTAACAGTTTTAAATGTCAGGAAGAAAGTTTAAGTAGCATAAACGACACACTACAAAAGTTTTGGGATTTAGAAGAGATGCCTTTAAGAAATTGCCAAGCACGTTACACAGAGGAACAACAAATGTGTGAGAAATCTTTTATTGAAAATGTCCAAATTTTGTCAGATGGAAGATTTGAAGTTAAACTTCCATTTAAAAAAGAACCTAGTTCCTTAGGATCCTCATTTGAAGTTGCCAAACGTAGATTCCTTTCGTTGGAACGAAGATTATTACGAGACTCGAATTTAAAGAAAATGTATATTGATTTTATGGAGGAATATCTCGCTTTGGGGCATATGTCACCAATTGATTATGGGGTCCCGACTCCTCCACACTATTTCATTCCGCATCAGTGTGTAGTGCGCCCTCAAAGTACAACTACTAAGCTTAGAGTTGTCTTTGATGCTTCATGTCGTACAACTACACAAGTTGCGTTAAATGACATATTGATGGTAGGCCCAACCATTCAAGAGGAGCTGTTTTCCACTTTGTTGCGATTTCGCTTCCATAAATACGCATTAACTGCGGACATTACGAAGATGTATCGCCAAATAAGCATACATGAAGATGACCGGATTTACCAGCTCATAGTGTGGAGAAGAAGTCCTTCTGAGCCATTGCAAATGTGTCGCCTCAACACGGTTACTTATGGAACCGCGTCTGCACCATTTTTGGCCATAAGATGTTTGATGCGGCTAGCTGAGATGCAAAGGTCGTCTAACCCAGCAGCAGCAGCAGTGATTCAGAAGGATTTCTATGTCGACGACTTGTTAACTGGTGCTGGAAGTATACAGGATTTAAAAACGATACAACGGGATGTAATATCAATCCTGCATGGGGCCGGGATGAAGCTCGCCAAATGGTATTCCAATTGTGCGGAGCTTTGTACTTCCGAGAGCACAGACAAGTCGTTGGCAGTAGCCGAATCGGATCCAACAAAAACTTTAGGAATAAGATGGTTTCCCAAAGAAGATGAATTTCATTTCCAGTTAGAGGATTCATTTCAAGATCTTCGTGCTAAAAAACGCAATATTTTGTCTGTGTCAGCTAGGTTATTTGATCCCCTTGGTCTTCTATGTCCCTTAGTGACAAGAGTTAAAATTCTACTGCAGGAGCTATGGATGGAAAAGTTAGATTGGGATGAGTCGGTACCACTGAGGTTACATACAAGCTGGGAGGAATTTAAAGTTAATTTGTTGCACCTCCATCAGTTAAGGATTCCCAGATATTTAAAAACTTCACTATCTCAACCAATTCAACTGCACGTATTCGCCGATGCCTCAATTAAAGCTTATGGTGCTTGTATATATGTTTGTACAAGCACAGCTGATGGAATTAAAGCCATGTTGTTAACGGCAAAATCCAAGGTAGCCCCTTTAAAAACAAGGTCACTTCCCCGTCTTGAACTTTGTGCGGCTCATGTTGCAACTGATCTGTTAAATAAAATCAGGCCTATAGTATCAAGCCCAATTGAAAAAGTAACGTTCTGGTCGGATTCGGAAATAGTCCTTCATTGGGTGAAGACTCATCCGTCGAGTTTATCAGTTTTCGTAGGAAACCGAATAGCTGAGATTCAGGATTGGAGCAAAGGCTCAATTTGGCGTCATGTTCCGACAAAGCAAAATCCGGCAGACATTGTATCGAGAGGAGCATCAGTCGAGGAACTCAAGGATCTTATGTGGTTCAACGGTCCAACATTTTTAACTGAACCAGAAGATAAATGGCCTATTAATAGTCATTTTGAACTATCGCAAGGTATGCAAGAGTTGGAAATTAGAAAATCAGCTCTTGTCTGTGCAGAACCACGCATGCAAAGTGATCTTTTAGAATACATAGAAAAACAGTCGTCATGCATTAAGACAGTAAGGGTCATTGGATATGTACTTCGTTTTATAAGAGGATGTCGAAAAGCGGCTCGTGAGGCGAATATACTGCTCACAGCAGCTGAGCTAAAAATGGCATTTGACAAAATTATTCAGGTTGTGCAGGACTTCGAGTATGCAGAAGTCATTGATAAAATTCGCAAGAAGTCATTACTCGCGCCAAATTTGCAGAAGTTGTGCCCGTTTTTGCAAGAAGTCAAGCTAGAAAAGTTGACATTTAGCTTGGTGAGAGTCGGCGGGCGAATGTTGCAAGCCGATATTCCATTTGACGCGAAATTTCCGTGCTTACTCAGCAAACAGTCGCAGTTCTTAAAGAATTACGTTGAACATTTGCACAGAAGGAATTTCCATGTCGGCGCGCAAGCCTTAGGCAGTCTTCTCAATGAGCGGATATGGGTGGTTAATGCTCGGGAGATATGTAAAAAAGTTGTTCGCCAATGTTTGCACTGCTTTCGATACAAACCGAAGCTGCTTTCACAAATCATGGGGCAGTTGCCTGCTGATAGACTAAGATCAGCTCGTCCCTTTACAGTGTGTGGAGTAGATTTTTGTGGGCCAATCATGACCACTTTGAAGATCCGAGGGAAGCAACCATATAAGTCCTATGTCGCTGTATTTGTGTGTTTTGCGTCCAAAGCTGTTCATCTTGAACTTGTTAGCGACTTGTCAACTGATACCTTTTTATCATGTTTCCAAAGGTTTGTCGGCCGGAGAGGACTTCCGAAGACGGTGCACTGCGACAACGGCACGAATTTCGTGGGCGCGAGCAATCGCATGAAGGAGTTCGGCGAGAGGCTGAAAGCAGAGTTGACCGGCGTCCAACGCTACGCTTCCGAAGAAGGAGTCTCCTTTGCATTCATACCGCCCAGGGCTCCTCACTTCGGAGGCCTATGGGAGGGCGCTGTGAAGTCTGCGAAAGGCCTACTCCTACGGACGGCAGGTCGCGCTTTGCTCACCGCGGACGAGTTAACGACGTTCCTCGTTGGCGTGGAGGCAACCCTCAATTCAAGGCCAATCGGCCCACTCAGCCAGGACCCCAACGATGGACAAGCGCTGACGCCAGCGCACCTGCTGATCGGCGGCCCGCTGAAGGCCCCACCGGAGGAGGAGGCGCCCGAAAAATAAGTTGCTTGCGTCGATGGCAGCTTGTATGCTCGCTCAAGCAAGAGTTCTGGCGGAAGTGGTCGACGAGTTATCGTCGGAGCCTGCTGGTTCGCTCGAAGTGGACCAAGGAGTACCCGGACGTCAGGGTGGGCCAATTGGTGCTCGTGGCCGAGGACAACTGCCCGCCACAGAGGTGGCTGGTGGGTCGGATAACCGCCGTACACGCAGGGGTGGACGGAAAGGTCAGGGTCGTCGACCTGAAAACCACCAACGGCGATATTAAAAGGGCCATCCACAAATTGGCACCCCTGCCCATCGAATGAAGTAGAGGAGGTGCTCAACGCGGGCGGTGTTGGCTGATTTCAGCCCTTTATTTAATTTAAAAATAAGCAAGTCAAATAAGAAGAAATTAATTGAAAATGAAATGTAATGAAGTATGTAATTAGAAAATAAGTATAAGAGAAAATGAAGTATGTACAAACGCTGAATGTGGATCGCGTTAGCTTTAAGCGGGAAGAAGGAAAAGAAGTAGGAGACGAAATAAATGAGGCCAGTCTCGTTTAGATTCTGATCGTTTCGCACGCACCCGCTATAAGTTTGTCTATCCGCCGTATACTGTATATAAATTCATATAATAAACTTTGTCATATTTCCCGTGTTGAATTCGTGTCATTTGTTCTTAAATTTGGCAGTGTTAAAAATTCGTCTCACAAAAACTATTGTGAATTTTTCACCAACAATGTAACCTTAACCTTACCCTATCACACATATTCCTTGAATGCCCTAACCACACTGAACACAGACGTAAATTCCTCCAAAAAACTTTAGAAGAAATAGTAAACCCCATGAATATAACCACAACTATCCAATTCCTTAAATCCACAAACCTTTACAATAACATATAAGTTTAACCTTACTGTACATAACTAGAATAAGTAGGCACATAGATTTATAAACATACTCTTGCTAGCATACCTGTAAATACCTTTTAAACTTAAAAAAACCATCATTGTTACAAATCTCATATTACGTACTATATGATATCTATCCATCCCACTGTTATATAACACATATTACATATTATAAAAATAGATATTAAGCAGAAGGCCATTGTAGCTATTGCTTAACTAAAGCAAAAATTGCCCGCACTTTATAATTGCTGGTAATTTCTTTATAATAATAATAATAATAATAATAATAAAAAAAACACAAAATAATAGTAACTTGTGATTTTTCGTCTCAATAAGCGTCTTTTCGCCGTTTGTCTTTCGGAGCGTTTGTCTTTAGGAGAAAAAAATGCACGTCTGCACTCGCCGACGTTCAACGATCGTCTCTTCGTTAAACGTCGTTATTAAACTGTTTTATTTAGCTCACCCTAGGGTCAAAATTAGAAATTGAAATGTAAGTACCCTCCTGTTGTCAGATTGATCTGAAATTTGGTACACACCTTCAGTTCCGATGACAATACAATATAGTAATGTCAACAACATTGTAAAATAAAGATGTCGGCCGCAAAATGGCGGATAACGTAGGTTCTATCTATCCCATCAATATGGGTATCAAATGAAAGGTCTCCACAAGTAGAATACAATGAACTAAATAAAATTAAAATTCAAGATGGCGGCCTCTGCAAAATGGCGGATAACTTAGGTTTTATCAATCCCATCAACATGGCTATCATTGTCATGAGTCTTCTTTCCAAATTTCTAATTTATACTCAATTCTTATACATTGTTAATCCTCTCTTTCTAGCATGTATGTCAGCGCTTAACGAACAGACCTCACTTGGCAGCAGTCTAAATCTGTCCCGCTCTGCCATGCTTTCACTCAATTTCTAACTTCCTTTTTTAATAGTCCCTGCTTCACATTAAAGAAGGCCCCGCTTCACCTACTCTGACCAAGAGAATAAAGTAGGCCCCGTTTCATTTGATCCGACATATACATGTTTGTGATATTTGTACCAAACGTTGTTCGGTACTACGCTGCTGCATTAACATACTTACCTGTGGAGTTAACTTCGAAAAAAAAAATATAAATAAAAATGCGAAATAAAAACTAAAAACTAGAAAATAAAAAAAGGTAAAAATAATTTTTAAGTTAAACCGTTTTATGTAAAACATGTATTAAATGTACTAAAAGCCTAAAAATAATATAAAATAGATACAGACGTGGGAATTATAAACATATGCTTAGACTAGACTAAAATAAAACCGTGGGGAAAGTCAATTGTGTACAATCGTTGATTAAAATGTTTGTTTGCCCCACGGTTTTATTTTAGTCTAGTCTAAGCATATGTTTATAATTCCCACGTCTGTATCTATTTTATATTATTTTTAGGCTTTTAGTACATTTAGTACATGTTTTACATAAAACGGTTTAACTTAAAAAATTTTTTTTACCTTTTTTTTCCTTGGTAAAGGAACAATGACTGTTTTCGAGGGGTTGAAGTTCCGCCCAACTTCCCTGCACCAATCAACCGGTACTTTGAGTCCGAGTTGGACAATGTCGCAATGCGTTTCTTCGAATTTCTCTCTGGCTACTATTACTATGACATCGGAACTGCCTTGACATTAAATTCTTCTATCGGCGAGTTTTCTTAGTATTTAATCTACTAGTAGGCTCCACAGCAGAAGAGATAATACTCCACCTTGCGGACACCCTCTGCTTGTCGCAAAGGTCATTGTGCTATTAACAATAGTCGCCATTGCCTGTTTGGAACCAAGCAGGGCGCCGATCTCCTTTCTTGGTGTTCCATCAATATTCCTTCTAGTGAAGGCCGCTAAGACAGCATCGTGAGACGCATTGACAAAGGCGCCCTCTATATCTAGAAAGGCGCAGATTGCAACTCTTTATTGTCTACTGCCCCTTCAAGAGTATGGCATAGTTGGTACAGAGCTGTGTCTGTTGATCGACCTGCTCTGTATGCATGCTGCGTGGATTGCAGCAGACAGTCTTTGAGAACTGTGCTCCTGATATGGTAGTCTACCAGCTTTGTTGCTGTTTTAAGACAAAACGAAGTTAAGCTGATAGGTCTGAAGGACTTGGGGTTGGTGGTGTCTTTCTTCCTGCCTTTGGGGATGAAGACCAGCCTAGCTCTAAGCCACGTATTGGGGATGTGTCCAATTGCTAGGCTACTCAACATTAGTTTCCTTAAGCGGGTTAGGAGTAGATCCAGTCCCCGCTTCAGGAATGATGGTGAGATATCATCCAGACCTGGTGACTTAAATGGTTGGAAGCTGAAGAGACTTGGCAATTGCCCAGTCCCTTGCACTTGGTCTGGGGTGTGTCGGAGTGGACACAAACTCCACTGGGGTGGACGCATCCTCCACCTGGGGTGAGCTTCCAGAGATGTGTGTATCAAAGAGTAATGCTAGTTTATTCCTATCTTCGGAAGTGTAGGTGATATTACCTTTCCTCCGGGCTAGATTATTTTCTGCTGCATTTTTGGTCCTGGGCTGTGCTGATTGCCTCACAGAAGTCTCTATAGTTCTTCCGTTTGGCCTTCCTTTTCTCTTTATTGTAGAGCGTCAGGTTTTCTTTATAATGTCCCCAGTTTTCCTCGCTCGTTTTTGCTCTATTGAAGAGCCGGCGAGTGGAGATGCGGAGCCGTTCCAGGTTGGCGTTCCACCAGGGGGCGTCCTTTCTCTTTTCTGTCTGTCTGTCTGTCTCGTAGAGGTTACTGCGTGATCTAGTTCTAAGGAATGTCTGGGAATACTTGACGGTTCGTTAGAGAGATTGAGTGACCTGAACCAATCCCAGTTTGTTTTCTTTGGGTTCCTTTTAGGGGCGTCCCTAGCGGTGTTGAAGTCTAATTCAAATCTAATGATTCGGTGATCCGACATTGATTCCTCTGGCGACACATGCCAGTTTTTAATAAGTGGTTCTAAAGACCTGCTCATCAGAGTTAAGCTTAAAACCTCCCCTGTTTCTTTAGTAACGAAGGTCAGTGTGGAACCGACATTGCCGATTTCTTGGTTACTATTTATAATTAGTGTATGAGCTGCTCACCTCTGTTGTTGCCGTGCTTCCCCATATCACACGATGTGCATTAGCGTCTCAGCCTATGATCAGGGGGAACCTCTTCTTTCAGCAGCACTTCACTAGTCGGCCTCCATCTCACTGATGACGTCCAGGACGGTCTCCTGGGCCAACTCCTATTAGTCCATATTAGTGTTGGAGCCCTTATCTGAGTCCACAGGATTTGTGGCTCGTCGAGGGAATCCTCGACCTCCACTTTGCCATCTGTAGGGCCAGAGGGCGCTTTTTCTTCTGCGGCCTTCTTTGCCGCCTTCTTGAGGCCACTAACCGAGACAGTCCCGAAACCTTGCAGAGCAAAGGGTGTTATAATTTCAGTCAGAAGTTTGCAACGCAGTAAAGAAAACACCCCAGACCCCATAAAGTATATATATTCTGGAGTGTGCAGTAAGATTTGGTGTATTCGTATTCCTGTTAAATCGGGTTCTTCAACCGTGATTCTGCGATGCAATAGAAACTGGAGATTGTAGATGGGATGGACTTCGTTTTTCTTGAGTGCCTTGGAGTTAGGTACAAGTTCCACTTTAAAGAGAGGTTGCGGTTGTACGTTTCGGTTACGTATATATTGTGAGGAGTCGTAAAGCTCCCTAAAAATGCAGGTGCAGTGAAAACTCCACATAGCAACAGCGGACGGAGCTGCATGCGTAAGAGCGGGTGCCAAAAAGGGAAATATCGGCGCGGCGAGTTAGAAAAGAACCGCTTTGGAGGACGGTCGTGTCCAAGACCCACGCCAGGACAGTCAAGTGAAAGTCGTGCAATTGAATACCAAGTGCCAATATATCCAGATCAAGATCGCCGAGTCTAGAAGCCCAACGACGGTCACGTCTACATAAGCTGAGACTGCCAAGCTGAGATCCCGAGGGTGCAAGGTAAGTTGTAGGGCGCGTCTACGAGTCTTAAGATCGACGAAATTGGTGGAGTCTGAGCAGTGGATGTTGTGCGAGAGGTATCCGGCGTCGGTTAACACGAGAGTGAGAATCTGCTGA